TTTTTCAATTTTTTTCCTGCGTGAATCTACGAATATATTCTAAATATATTACAGGCGACCTTACAGCGCCAAAGAGAAGCTTCGAAGTAATTTTCATCAAAATATGGTAATTTTCAATTCAGTTCGCGCGTTACCGAATTTGACCCGAATTTTTTACGGCCAAGGGCTGTTATGTCGGCTCTGTTTGGATCGCTTAGTAGCAGCACCGACTAATGGACAGACAGATAGTAGGAAAGCCACTCATCTCGTCACTTTAACCATTTTATTACGATAAATCCTTGATTAATCGTTATAAGGTTTAGGTTTAGGTGTTGCAAACAAGTTGTTTGTTTGAAAGAACCGTGAGGTAAAGAAAACCTACCTTAATGCAACTAGTTGTTGTTGTATGAAAAGGGGTGTGACCATAGACATGTGCGGCGCATGCATGCTATGAAGTGGGCAATAAACTCTGAGATGTCAATACAAATATATCGGCAAACAAAATTTTAATATATTCACTAATAAATATATGCAATACATATGAACATATATATATGTATATACATTGTAATATATGGTATTTATCGCAAATGCATTTAGTGAATTAATTTTCTTGTCTGATCTTGGCAGCATGTCAAATGCGAGCATTATTTAATGCCACAAAAACACAACAAGCGAATACATACATACTTATTTACATATGTATATACCATAGACACTAAATATATGAGCTAATTTATTCTGTATGCCGTTTTTATACCTTGAACAGGGTATAGTACGTTTGCCTATAAAATATATATATATAAATGTTCAGCATGATGAGCTGAGCCGATTTAGCCATGTTCATCTGTCTGCGATTCTGTCCCCCTGTATACGAGTATATGCCAACTAGTTCCTCAGTTTTTGAGATATCGATCTGAAATTTTGCACCCGTCCTTTTCCCACCAAGAAGCTAGTCATTTGTCGAAACTGTCGATATCGGACTACTATAACATATTACTCTCATACAATCTTACTGCCACAAATCAAGTTCTTGTATGGAAAACTGTTTTTATTTGAAAAGCTATCTACACGAAATTTGGCATAGATTATAGTCCAAGACAATGCTACAAGCTCCAAAGCAACTGCACAGATCGGACCACTATAGCATATAAGTAGCTGCTATATAAACTGATCGATCAAAATCAATATGTCTTATATGAAAGATTTTGTTTTTGTGAAGGGTATTCAAGTTTTTTCTTGTTCTATTTACTGTTCTTATTATGTCATTTTATAACCTGACATATTTTGATTAAAAATCAATTAACCGTTGCTAATTAAAAATGGCCATTATAGCAACGTTTTCCACCAACAAACCGGTAAATTTGAAAAAAAAAAAAATTTTGTATCAATTTCACACTTTTTTTAATTTTATTTTTGTTTTTGTTTTATTTGCGTGTGCACAAGCATTTGTTGTACATTGAATTATTTAAAAATTTTTACATAAATTGTTGTGGCGTATATTCATGCGTTTTTTTTGTCGTTTTTTTTCTTTTTTTCTATTTATGAAAGTCATAGTATTTTTATTTTATTGCATGCATAGGTAATATATCAGCTAGACTATAGTTAACACGCTCCATATAGTTATTTGAAACTTTTACAGCGCGTGTGTGTACATTTGTATGTGTGTGTGTGTGTGTAAGTTTTTTCATTTATGAAAAATTTATGCTACTTTATTGACTATTAAAAAACCTCACTATTTATCGCTATGTAATTCTTATTTGTCCCATTCTTCAACGCTTCTTACCAAATCTTTTGGATTTATAACCAAATCAAGTATGCTTGCTACAGTAGATTTTCTCAAAATTTTTGTGACACGCTGTACTAGCTTGTGGTTCACCTTTTATTGTAATAAATAAAAAGCATTAGCTTAAACTTAGTGTTAGCATATATACTACATATATGTACATATATATGCATACATATATGTTTATATATAAGGAGCTTTATATTTACATTGTTAAGTGTGCTTTTTTATAGTGTATCAAAAGGATATACATAACTAACAGTATTGCAAATTATAAAAATTAATTACATATATAAATTAAAATGCTGTCTTTCTCTTGCATTGCATTTCATACAGTACAGACTACTGTTTTTTTTTTTTTCTTTTTTTTGTTTGTGTTATAGAAAAAGACACTTTTAAGATTCGTTTCGCTTCTATTTAATATAACGATTTTGCTTAGACTATGAAATTATCTCGAAATCTTCATCCGAATCGCACTCGGTGTCAGCATCGCGGCCATTGCGCGTCAAACTGGTTGCATGTATATGATTTACATTTTCAAAGTCTGCAAGAAAATAAATTAAACAAATTATTGTGATGTAACAAAACATAAATTTCATTAAAAAATTAAAATTTGTAAAAAATGTTAGTAAATACAAATGAAAATTAGTGTTATAGTAAAACTGTATGTAATTTCAAGAACCTTCAGAATCACAAGAGCTTAGTGTACGATAGCAACGATTCTTATAATTTTCTAGAGCTGCTGCCGCCTCTGCTGCTGCGCATGTAGCACGTGCAGAGGTGCCTAAAGATTTTGCGATAGTTGTGCGCGGTGTGTTGCTATTGGTAGCATCACTGGTGGCGGCCGTGGTTGAGGTTGTAGATGTGTTACAATTAACCAAACCCACCGTATTTAGTGTAGTAAAATTTGACTCAATACCTGCCGACGGGGTCGATACCCATTCCGCCGAGCGCGACTTTGTTATCTCGAGCAGCGGTTGTGTGCAGGCAGCCAAAACTTTAGTACGTAGATTATCCAGAAGGACTTCGAAACTCAGGCGAGATTTGCAAAGAAAGCACTAAAAGCAACCAAAAAGGTTTAAGGAATTTAAGTAATGCTGTGAATTTAAATTTAAATAAAAAATGTACCATCGCCATTGAGGGGTCCATTTGTTGGAAGCCAATACGTCCGGCATATCGTTGATGAAATGTGGCATCGAAATCAATCTCATCCTGTGTAGTCTTTTGTCCCACAGAGCCCGAGCGCTGTGTGGTATGTGGATCTAAGTACAAAACTTCATCGTCCACATAGCCAACAAAGTAGAGCGCTTGATTTGGGCGACCGCCAATCATGCCACAACTGCCAGCCAATTCAAAACAAATTTTCAACGCTGGCACATAAATTGGATTTATTTCACTGAGCCCCAAGCGCAGTGGAATGATGAGTAATAAAGGTTTCCAAGTTTCATCATTACTTGGATTTTCAAGGCATAGTGAATCTATAAGTACAACAATATATAAGTGCTAAGTATAATAACTATTATATCAAAAAGCTCACATATATCGTCAGTCACTATTGTGTTGTCCATAGCCACATGTATAACAATAGAGCACCAGTCGTCGTAGCGCACCAGTTTTCTACAAAACAAATTATTAAAAAAAAAAACAATGTTTTTAAATCTTTTACAAAAATGCACTTACTTTAACACCTGCGCTACTGTGTTTGGGCCAAACCATTGACCGACTTTTTTATCTTCCGAATCGCCCATTAAAGCGATCTGATGTATAGAGAAGTAACTTTTGCGAGAATCTTCGAATCTATTGACTATTTTTAAATAGGTTGAATCACGTATTTCTGGTGTCCAAAACCATTCGCGTCCAAGATGCAAATCAATTAAAGCTTGCGCCAAAACCATTTGACCACAACGCAAGGTGCAGCCCCATCCTTTATCGGTAGTCAATTGTGGTGCGCCCAGAGGCACGAAACCGCGGCGATATGTGCACCATAGACGTGATTGTATGTCTCGGCGTATTAAATCAAGTTCTGCAATACCATTGTATGATTATTTAAACAATTTCACTTTAAATATAATTAAAACAACCTTGTATAGCGTTATAGCGTTTGCCCAGCACCCAAACGGTGGTGTTGGCTTTTGGTATATCATCAGGTTCACCGACAGCGCCGGCCACAGCGCCAGCCAATACGCCATCTGGACCTAAATATGCTTCGAATACGCTATCCATTTTGCGTGATACATTAGCATAAATTGCAATTAGGCGATCTATTTTTGCGATACTCTGCAAACGCAAGTAGTACGCACTCTGGCTCTGTCGAAACAGCTCGTCGGGATGCCGCCGTAACCAATTGAGCTCCGTCGCTAACACTATTAGGCAACAGATGACGCAGACACTGAATACGCAAGTGATTAGGTTAATCCACCAGCTGCTGAAACAGCAGAACTCAACAAAAAAACGTAGAATTTTGGAAAAGCTGTAGACGCAATACAAGACATACAAATATAAACTTTGTGGCTATCACATAATATTTTCAACTTTTAGTAACGAATACTTACTAAAAACCCAATAACAATATTGTTGATAAAACCGTTTATAGTACGTCACCCACTCCGCGTAATTATGTATGCCCTTGAGCTGTATTTTTTCTACATACAACTGGTTACTGATTTGGCACAGATATTTACTTGCTATAGCAACACACACGTCGTATCATCGGACTTCCTTCCAAACAATCCGTATTTGGGACATCTACACAAAATGCTAAAATCATCGGCAGTGTTTTTCGTACCTGAGTTTTTATCTTTTTTCTAGTTTTTACCTGTACATTACGCGATGGAAATAAAAATTTCAAAACAAAGACGATTTGTTTCCTCTTTGACAGGAACATAAAACTCTATTCACAATAAATGATGACGACAGATTATAAGCCTACTGAGCACGGTGGGTCAAAATGTTTAAACTATGAAATAAATTTAAAGCTGCTGACGGCGTAGCAGATAAACTAAATATTTTCTTTAATATTGGTAGTTAATAAATATAATTTCATCCTCCTTCCTTTTTAAGCGTAAAGCTCAATTGACATTTAATAGGGGTATTAAATAAAATACTCTAAAATGTAGAGCAGCTTAAATAACTAATTTCATTATGTAGAAAAGTGTCCATCGTGAATGTGATTTTATTCACCATAGATTTTTTGAATAATTAAATAGAAAATCGAAACAAACATATTTACTTACAGTTAGCTGTTTAGTTTTATTTTTCAATTAAAAATATTAAATTAACGATATTTTCAGTGGCTATCGTTTTTTTCATATAACCCAATATTTAAAACATTTTAATTCAATGAAATATTTTAAATCGTTTTTATAATATAAAGCATTATTTTTATTTTTCACGGTTTCTCTACATACTTATATGTATAAATGTATTACATACTGGTATTTCAAAAACTATTCCTTGACTGTTATCTCACACTAAGGAACGTGCTAAATTTGTTATTCAAATCTTCGAACACTTCCGCAAGCGCAGCCTCATCACTTTCGCTGCGATCTACAATATCAGCATTGGGATCTGCATTCTCCTGTGCTGCTGCAAGCTTACGCGCAGCTTGTCGTTTCTTTTTCAAAGATTTCTTATTAACGACTGTCGTAGCTGTCTGTGTGGAAGGACGTTTCCATTGCGGCACAAACTCATCACACCATTGCCATAAATAGTTGTAGAAGTCAAACATCATTTGTGAATCGCGAAAGATAAAGTTTTGTATATAATAAGTAATATCAACACGCGTCTTTAACAAATCGTATAAATTGTAAATGAAGACACCACAAAAAAGTTGACCCATTTTTGCTTGCTCGTAGGGCATATCAAGCAAGCCATTTAGTCCATATAACTGGAAGACAATCGATTGGAATTCTGAGAAGGCATGCAAAACAATTGTCGAATAGGCGTCGTATTTCTTTTTAAAAATTTCCTGCATATGAAAATGTTTTAGTAAATTATCCATCACAAGGTAACAATCGGATTTTGGTATATACTCCATGCGTTCCGGTACAGATAACACGAGTAGATGCTCCTTAATTGTGCGTGGATTACCTTTTTGCACTTCCGTATCACGAACAATTCTTTCCTTTTTTACAATTTTGCCAAAACGCTTCTGGAATTCTTTTAGACCACGTTCTGCGGGTATTTTCGTATCAATTGTGTGTAGTACAACCACACAGATAATTAAAGCATGAAGATGTATTAGGTCACAGTTTTGAGATTTATGCAGCCAATAAACGACAGCAAGGAAATACAATTGCAAGTCTTTGGGAAGTTCTTTGACTTTTTCGAAAAGTTTTTCACTATCCAAGTAAGGCATTTTATCTTTGAAGACGTTTCGTAAAAGCAGAGGTTCCGGTTGTGCAGGTGTCAATTCAAATTTAGTTTCACTTTCCATGGCATAGCGTGTATAGTGTATGTTTGTAACTCGCGGTCTTCGCCCCATATAAGTAAACTCAATAGGCAGTGGTTCACCGTTCTCGTCAAGTGCGGGTTGTGTTTCTTCACCTTTCACGCTATTCAATAATGTAAAAATATATCTTAATATCGGCAGTGCAATTTCATTGCAATCATTGTAGGGAAAATGTTCGATTTGCGGGCTGTTTATATATTTTCGAAGATGTACGAGATCCACAAAGTAGCGTGGTAAGTGGGCAGGATATAACTTTTCCAAGAACCAAGTAGGAAATATCGATGTCTTATCTTCACATTCATTCTCTTCATTTTCATCTTCTTCGACTACGTCTACATCTTCATCTTCATTACCTTTGTTTTCACCACTTTCTATTGCCTCATCTTTGTCTTCTTCTTCGAGATCAGAATCTTCTTCACTATCACTGTCTTCCCCACTGTCATCTTCTGGACATTCTCCATTGCTTTCTGCAATATCTTCTTGTTCTTTTTCGCCTTCGTCTTCACCTTCGACACTTTCGACTTGATCATCAACGTAACTGACATCATTCAGCTTCTTTGGTGGGTATCTTATAAATGCGTTATCATAATGTTTTATAAAAAAGTCATAGGAGTGACATTTTTCATTTGAATAACCACTGATTGCTGCATTCATTTGATCCAGCAAAGATTTTCTCTGGATCTGTAGAAGTATAGAACAATATATAATGTTTTTGAATAAATTTTTGATTCTACTCACCTTTCGCAAACGACTTAAAATCTTCGACAATGCCGACTCCACAGTTTCATCTTTCAACCACTGTAATATTACTTGTATTCTTTTCTGTTGACGTTGCACTTTTCGACTGCGTCCAACTTTTCCCATTCCCGCCGCAAAAAAGTTTTTGAAACAGGAACGACCTATGTAATCATTGCCCAGCAATGCTGCAAAAAGTGGCAACTTTTCTTTACAAAGCGAACGACGCGCTATTAAATGCTCAATTCGATATATGCAACAATCTAAGAACTTGTATGTTTTTCCCTTTTTCGGCGCGCGTTTTTCGATGTTATTCACCTGAATTTCACTCACTATGCGATTTGCCTTTGTCAATTTTTCCACACGTTTGGCTTCATTTTTTCGCAATTTTCGTTGGGACAAAATATCTTCATTCGACACCTCTGCTTCATCTACACGCTTGGTATGCGCCTTCACAGTCAATGTGATTAGTGGTATATATTGCACGTTATATATATAAAAATCAGAATCATAGGTAAGTACTGGGCATCCGAGCTTTCGACTTAATGTCGCTAGCTCGTCATCTGCCTCAAAAACACAACGCATTACAGACACCCCACAATCGCGTACTGCATCAACGAATACTTCTTTCATTAGCAGTGGAAATATTGGGTTGGAGCCACAAGGATTTATGCGTTTGATTATAGCTATTTTCCCTCTCAAGCGTTTACCAACTGTACGCAATTTACGGTATTCATAGCCACCATCCATTAAAACATAAGGTTCAATATTGCATTCAGCTAGCACTTGAAAAAATTCTACGACAGCACGATAGAAATCGTCATAGTCGCCACCGAAGGCAGAACAATTCCCCGACACGTCTTTGAATATATTACAGGACAAACTATCGCCATCTATCACCAGATTGCAATCATGTAATTCGTAAGGCAGCAGATATTGCTCTGCATGACGCGCTATATAACCGGTGAGTCCTCGCACACCCATCGAAATTTTTAATTTATAATCTTATTTCCGTGTATTTATTTGACCTCTCCCACAACTTTGCGGTTTGTTTTGATTAAGCCAATGGCCATGTGTTTTCTACAGAACTACAGTCATTCACAATAAAATGTTTATTTATTAAGTAAGCAAAGAGAATAGACAAAGAGCATGCCACTCGGTAAGTATCACAATATAATATTAATTGAAAAATTTAAATTTGCAGAAAATTATGTTTCAAACTTCTTTCTTTTTGCAAAATAATTAAATTTATTGTTAATTAATAATGTTTTTTGGCTTAAAACTTGAGAAAAGTAAATAATATATTAACTATGTTTGTGACAAAAATATAAAATTAAATTACACATTTTTTCCAAATTAAAATATATATTTTTTTTTAAATATTTCAACTTCTTCTCAAAATATATTTTCTAATCACCTGTACAGAATCCAAATTGGAATATTTTCCAAGTGGCACATACATAGGTGAGGAATGAAATTTTTCGCTCGCTAAGAAGAAGAAGATAATTAATATTTGCTTGTGGTGCAAGTGCACGGTGGATGTTTCCTATTTTTCGCAGTGTGTTTTAGAATATAGCAAAGTGTGCACGTATTTTCGTTCCAGCGCTTTATACATTTCATTTCGACGCTTTCTAGTAATACAAAAGGTTAATAGTAACGATTTCACACGAATACCAATTGCATATTGCAATTATTTCGCAAAGAGTGAATAATATCGAGTTTGAATAAGCTTAAAATAAGTGCAGAAGTGACGAATACTAGCTATATATACTCGCAGCAGTAAATATAATTTGGAATTGTAGAAAAGTGCCTTTTATTTGTGTGTGCGCGGCCATCGTACGATGAATCGTTGCTGGTGGAAGTGAACAACAAAAACATACTAGCGTATAAGAGTGAATGGTGCAAATAAAATATAAATTACGAATGCGAATTTAAGAAAAGATTTGTGCCTAGTTGAAAATACCATTTATAGTTTCATGAATTCAATAAAAACTGCGCAAACTGTAAACTTTACTTGATCTCTACATAAGTTAGTTGCTCTTTCATATTTAATTTTCCAATCGGTTTGTACAATACCAAGCTTGTGTTAACTACTTCTACTTTCTGGCTGCATTCGTAGTGTTTTTGGATTTAATCTTCTCTGCCTCACAGATTGCTTCATATTTTAACAATTCGCTTTTTGGCTACTGCTGCTTTCAGTGCCGTAGTAGCAGCAGCATTCAAAGACGCTGTCTTTGCTTTGCAGCAAAAAGTTGACGTCAACGTCGCAGCTTTTGTTACCGTGAACGATTTTATGTCTCTCTCTCTGTGACGTTCATTCATATGTGCAGACATAAAATTTGTGTTAAAGCAACGAAAAGTCAGAAGCATAAAAGTAACATTGAACGAATGTATGATAAAAAATGTGTAAAAGAAAACAGAAAGAAATTTCCTTTTTCTGCTTGGTATTGTTTTTCTTTAATGGGCGCAGCACGTAAACGCACATAACTACCACCAATATAAACAGCTAGCGGCACTGGAGCAACCGAGACAGCAAACACACTAAAAGAGCCTGATATCGCTTTAGGACAAGTGTGTGTATTGCTTTTGGCCATCTACTATTATTACATTGACGTGTGAGTTTGTGTATTTGGTTTTTGTTATTGTTGACTGATTCTTGGCTTCTTACTTCTGTTGGAGCTTCATGCGGTTTCTGTGCATATGAGCAGTGCAGTGCGGCGCCGAAGCATTGACCGCTCTCGGTACATATACATACACCTACATACTATATGCATTTATATGCTTATACTGGACTCTACACACGTTTAAAGAAATAAGAATTACAAAGAATTGCAATAAAATAAGTAAGCATTGAAGAAGAAAACCGTAACATAACGTGCAGAAAAATTGTGAAAACGCTAAAATATACAAGTTCGTCTATTTTTGCAAAAATCCGAAATGAAAATCGTGAAATTTTGTTTGTGTGTATATGAAAATTCTTAGTATAAAGTGAAGAAGAAAAGTGAGCGCAGAAAATATCACCTCATCGCATCCGTCAAACGATTGCAATAACAACAAAAGTAACAGCATAAATGGGAGCAACAATTAATATACATACGTTGAAATATTTGCTCCAAAAAAACCAAAAATACAATAAATAAAATAAAATAAAACACGTACTCGCGAACTGTTCATATTCGCTCATTTGATTCGTGTTTTTCACAGTGCTATTCATCGTCGTCGTCGTGGTCGTGGTTATCGTCGCTGCGGTTATTTTGCCGATTTCGTTGTTATTGTGGTCACAATTCGAACAGATTTACTTGTGGAAAGTGTTATTTCGGCGTATTTTGGCAATAGCGCTCCAAACGACTAGTGTGTTCCGATTCGACGCCACGAGCGACATCGCCTTGAGTATTGCCAACGCAAGCGCCGGTTAGGCAAACAAGCAAATCCAAACAAGCATTATAATACGTGCAATCTTCTTCCGATATTTGCATTTGCACGCTATTCGCCCCCCAAAGCCCTTTATCGGAAAAAAAAGTTGTATTAATACTTTCTATACTATTCATCGCGTTTTCGCGCTGTTCCCTATCACAGGTTTCGCGCATTTGACATTTGCCGATTTGACGCATCGCCACATTCCTGCGGTCACACAGTGTTTGTTGAGTAGTGCTCGTGCAGTTCCAGTGCAAAGTGCTAAGCGAACAGGCATTCAGGTGTTGAAAGGATCTTTTTCAACAGCTGTGTCAGTTGGATGCCGGTGGCCTAATTGGATAACGTGTTATTTAGAAACATTGCTTCGTTTTCGGATAAAAACATACATTGAGTTTCAACGTAAAAAATCAGTGAACTTTTGCAGTGGCACTAGAAATTGTGGATTATTAACAAATGATTCGAAAGCATTAAAGGTTAGTTGTGTTAATTATTACTATTTATGTACTTATTTGTAGTGAGATAGGTTTTACTGAAAAAATTAATATAATAATCTATATAATAAGTGAAAAACACCGAGGGAGTCTTATTTCTGTGCAAAATAATTAATTTATTTCGTATAGTAAAATAAAAATAAATAACAAATCAAATATATGGTATTCTGCCCCACTTGTGGTTGGCACGAAATTTAATTTTTGGTGAAAAAATTTTACATTTGTGTAAAAATCATAGCTTAATTAGTGCATATTAATTGAAAAATAGGTAAGGTATTTTTTATTTTTTATTATCAATACATTTTTATATTTGAAATCATCCATTTTCCAATTACAATACCGAAATTCTCAAAACTTATCTCATTTCTTTTCCCACGCTCATTGCCTACTCAGGTACAAGTACTCAGTACACGCTAATCTTAAAAACCGATTTTAAATACATTTTCATATGCATTTTGTGTGTTCAAAAAAATGTCCGCAATTAATTTCTTAGAACTTTACTGTATTGAAGGCCGCACACAGTTTACGTGCATTTACTGTTTGCCATGATTGAATGCCACAGTAGGTGGCGAGACAACAGTACGTGTTTACTTGAAAAACGCTGCAAATCTTTGTATTTCTTGAGCATAAATGTACAAATTAACCACCCGCAAATTGTAATCAGCAAACAATTTTCATAATTTTCAATTGAAGAAATGACTTGGCACAAAATACCAGAAAAAATGAGCATGTAATTTATATTAAATCTGCGGAAAATTACTACAATTTTCACAGCGTATGAAAAGAAAATATGGAAAGCCAATTTTCGTGTAGTCTAGTAATAAAAAACGTGGTATACATAAGAATAAAGTGATCAAGTAACGCATTATGAATAAATTGTAAAAAAAGGGAGAAATTGCGTATATTGTTTTTATTCGGAAAAATTAATAAAACAATTTTTGTGCATATATCGGGCATTTGTAACTATGGCTATTTAGCGACACCAATTATCGCGACTTCATGTTTATGTAATCTCAAATTGTAAACGTTTTTTTCAAAATTAAAATTTTCTTTAAAAAAACCAATTTCCTAAAGATCGTTTTCAAATATTTAACTTGACTATATGCCAGTGCTGTAGCCTTTGAAAATGGCAAAAAGTGTACGAAAAATATCATAATAGATCGAAACCCACTGGAAAGCAAGATAAAATAACAAAAATGAATGAAAAAATATTTTACCAGCGATCTAAGGTTTTTTTTGTTATTGTTTAAGCGGCAGAATTCTGCCGAATTGACAGACCTTAGCCGGAAAAAAAACCGTGTCCGTTCCGATTACGTAGTTCCGACTGTCGTGGGAACGGAGCGATCTGAGGTTGTTGTTGTTGTAATGGTTATCTAATCCCCGCTTGGGTGGTAAGTTTCAGTTTAGTCGTCGTAGTCATCTAACGAAAGGGATCTGCGGTCGGTTAATCTCGAGTTACTGCCAAACTTCTCCAAAGCTATTTTCAAATATATGTACATTCGATATAAATGCAAAAACGAAGCTTGATTTTTTGAAATTTACTAGTGGAACCCTTTATTGTATAATAATGAAAACTGTTTACTGTCCCGAAAAGGTTCGGTGTCTTAGCAGTATTTAGCAAAAGCACTTGGTAGTCTTGTGGCCTACAGCAATTATAACAACAGCAGTTTACCGCTACTTTTTAAAAATCCATTTTTTTTATAAAAAATCTAAATTTTTTTTCATTTATTTTTCTTATTTTTATATACTATTCATAATAAAATCGTATATTTTGATCGAGTTTAAACAAACATTTTTTTTACGCTGCCTACTTGATGCATTGCGTAGAGAGTTTTCTCTCAATTTAAATACTTTTTCATGTTGTTACTATTTTATATACCATATTAATTAGAGAGTACCAGCTTAAATTATCTGCATTGTATACAGCTAAGAGCTGTTATTTCGTTTGCCAAATAATCGGAAAAAATCTCTTTAAATGCATTTATGCCCTTACTCTCTTATTTATATAAGGTAATCCTTCTAAAAATGTACCATCAAATTTAATATATTTTTGCACAATTTCCAATTCACTTTTGCGACTAGCACATTGCGCTCCACTTGCCAAGTAATGCCTGACACTTTGTTCAAACAATAACGCCAGCTGAGCGCTGTGCTCACTGCTGCAGCGAATTGAGGACGAAAGTTCACTGGAATTGTGGTGTCTTGGCGTCGCTTTTGGTGACTTTTCCCCAAACAATTGACGATTCCACTCTATTTATTATTTTTACCATTTTATTGTACTAGTTACTATGCAAATGCAAATTGTGTGTGCTGCCT